ATTAGCACATTATGAAATTATAGGAGTATAAAATTGTATTTTTAAAAATATTTCATAAAACATTTCGTGAAAATCGCATGTAATATTTAAATTTTATGAAAATAAAAAATTTGATGGAATAATTTATAATATTTTAGAATTTAAAACTACTATTACTACGGCAAACATCTATTTAAGGCTTTAAACGGCCCATTTTGTATGATTAAAAAAAAAAAGTTAACAACAAATTGAAAACATTGTATACAGTTAAAATATATTATTTACCTTGACATTGTAAATATTCGTTTACTACAGTACAATTACAATTTGAAAATAAAATAAGACGTTTGGAAATTAAATTGAATACAATACTACAATTTATTTTAGTCGGTATTACAGTTATATAAAACATAATGAAATAAACCAATTTAATATCTACTCATAACCTTAAGTAATTGTTACCCGAGAATATTTTACTACAAATCGTTATACGTCATGTTTAAAACTGCAAGATTTCCTAGACACAAGAACATTAATCTCTTCACTGTCGTTTGAACTAATATTTAATCTATTAATCTGTAGACTTATTTGATCTTCTATATTATTTCATCGAGAGCTGAATATTTACTTCTATTTGATTATAGGATTTTCAGTTAATTTTATAATTCTGAGAGGTTAACTTACTGTTATTTGTATTTCTCAGAAAAAATATTTTCGGTTTGTAAAAAATCTTCTATTTGTTCAAGTGATATCTAAAAGTTGTAGATTTTTCACCTTACGATAATTTGGTTAGAAATCATTTCGGAATTATAACACTTTGATTTGTAAATGCTTAAATTTGTTCATGAATCACCCCAAATAAGATCCAATATATTTTTTCGATGATAGTTTATTTGAAAAATATATCGGCATTCTCAACAGTTCACCCCTGAGGTACAATACATTAAGTTTTTCTTTTGTTAAATTGAATTCATTAATAATTGAGTGGAAATTGATAAAATAGAAATTTTTAGTAGAAGTACGCTCCCGCACAAAAATAATATTAAAATATTTTTGGAATAAAATGACTTTTGAATCTGTCTCCTCGTCACGTTAGTATAAATCGCAGAAAGTCGTAGTTTTTCTTTTGTGCGATAATAAAAATATTTCTTGAATACGTTCTCGACATGTTCCGGAAACGTGCAAAAATGTGTACACTATACTTTCTTATTATTATGCACATTTCGCCACTATAATTTACGTTCATAAAATCATAATACACCGACTCGTATATTTAAGACGGAAACGGATTTGTATAGCCAGTATAGTAGCTGCAGTGTACATAATAATTTGATCCGGCAAATAATAATTTTAACGTTTTACGCGACGTCATCGCGAAAAATTCATCACATTTCAATTTGGACGTGAAATAAATCAAGTATATACATATCGCGTAGCCGAAAAAGTAATTTATTTCAGTTATTGTACATAATAATAGTGTAAATATCATTTTATTCGATTGAAAGTCGAAGAAAACGGTTTCTATAAATCTACTGTATGAGTACAGGTATTTTTTTTTTTATGCGTTAACTTTTCGGGCTCTCGACACAATCGAGAATAATTTATAAGCGTGTATTTAAAATCATATATATTTTATATATTTACCACACCCGTCCCTGTATAGGGGAAATGTGATATTTATTCACCTACGCGGTAATTATAATATCGACGTTAATTAACGTGCATGCATATATCATAGTATTATCGGTATTTATTATTATTCGCATCCAATAACACATGGCAATATAGATGTATTGTGAAGAAAAATAAATGCATTTAAAATACATCATTAGTGCAAAATATATTAATATAACGCACTGTGCAGTGGAAGCTACGGTAGAAAACTAAACGTAATTATATTTTCGCCTCTGTAAATATTTTTTTGAATCAAAGGCACCAACCTTTAACATCGGGGTTGGTTTCTGGTATCTGGACTATTTGTATTCGTGTAAACTCCTACACGAATAATCTAATCGGATCTTTTTAAGTTTCAAATTGTTCAATATATGTTACAAATCGCTTTTTATATACTATATATGGTAAATACAGTTATCATACTTTTATAGGAAATTTATTTTTAATTTATTATTAGTTACTATGCATTAATGTATTATTACTAATAAGACTGATATTATTTTTAAAAAAAATATCAATAATGATATGATTAACATTTTTTTTCCAAGCATTCTATTATACTGTCTAGTGTAGGAAATTGAACTATCTTCCAGGAGTTTACATTATTCCCATGTACGAGATAATCTAATTTGTAGGATTTTACCATCTCCTGTCTATTAGTGCATATTGCCGGGATCATTTTTTTTCATTTTCTCTATATTTTACCTAATAATGACAAAAACACTGTCAGAAGAACGAGAATATTTACACAATAAACGGATTATGTTAATTTCGATATAGTGATTATGTTGTAATTCACTGCAAAGTAATATTAAAGATCTGAAATACTTATCTAGATATTAACACTATCCATTTTATATAGTGCAATTTCAAAAATACTCTGGCATTTAGAGTTATTATATCTATTTGAAACATTCCTGTCGTTTTTTTTTTTTTTTTATTTGAATAAAAAATGTTGTGTAAATTTGTATAGTTATACAAATTAATATAATTAATTTTACAGGTCGTGTTTAATCATTGCAAAAGGGACAATCGTTTTCATTTCCTTTTTATTTTACGTCTCTTAGTCCTTTTTATTTTATTTTTTTTTTTCTAATTCTAACGCGGCAGGTCGTATTAAGAATAGGTAGGGAATTGAAAGAAAAACAAAACAAAATATATAAAGTCTAGAGCAATTTAGTAATTTACTTTGTACAGTGACAAAATGTAAACTATAAGAAAATTTTCAATATAAATAAAACGGATTTTACATATTTAATTATTGTAGATTTTTTTTTTTTAAGGTAAACATTTTGGGTATACACGTTGACCTCTCCGTTATCTCCGTCACGCCCCGAGAAATAAGAAACCTACTGGAACGCGGGCAATCGATATAATCACTCATTTATTTTTATTTTATGTTCCGAACCGTTTTATGGACTACGAGCTACGGAGCTATTAGTTTTACAATTATGTGTTTTTTTGTTTTTTTTTTCTGCGTCTCGGAAAACACATCATTGAACTTCTGGTAAAAATGCTCGAAAAAGTTTCCACCTAACAACTTTGTAGATTGCGGGTAATTTAACATGGACGCTGGCGTGTGGTGTTTTACACAAATCGAATTCCCAGTTTCTTGTCACGAAAACGGTGTGAAAACCATTAAACCCACGGGACATAAGAAATGCCACGTTTTTAATTCTCGTAGATCCGTCTGCCACAGTGGAGAATTGCAATAATATTTCAGATCATCGTCGATTTAAAATAACATGTTATCTACTGAATGCTCCGGGAAAAAAAAAAAAAATCCATTATTGGATTTTGGGCGTTGGACCAGGTCGTATCATTCCCCTCCTCCACAAATAGATTCTTTAAGCGCAAAATGATAAATCAATGCAATTTTAAATATATAATTATGTTTTATAGCAATTATTGATTTTTTTTTTACGTACGTTTTTTATTTGTTACAAAGAATAATTTATTCGATACGTACAATTTGTATAGGTAAGAAAAAGTAACGTTTTATAGCAATACATATTTTAAAAACATATTTGTGAAACTCAAATTGGTAGTTTTTTAAATTATTTCTGACCGTAGTTCGTAATATTTAATTTATGTTATATATTTTTCAAATTGTCTAACTACAAGAATTCAGGAAAGAAAACCTAAATCTACTAACCATATTTAGTTGACTGTCTAATTGTAGTCAACCTAATTAAATCTACTCACGAAATTTAATAGTTAAAACTGAAAGTATATAGTGTTAGTCGTGTATAAACTACAATGTATTTTTGATACAACTATATTTACTTAATATAAACTAAAATGTTGTTTTCAGTATTATACTCGAATATATTTGATTTGAAAATAAAGAACTTATATTTAATCTAAATACTCTTTATGAGTTAAAAAATAAATATTTTTTTAATAATATAACTTAACCTAGTATCCAATGAAAATAATCGTGTTGTTCCAACTTAATTCATGATTTTGACTCACATGGTGACAAATTATAATATAATATAATATGCATGTGAAATCGTGTTATCGTATTTTACGTCTAACTTTCATCGATTCGGATTTAATAAAGTATCCCTACTTTACTCACAGATAGAAATACTCGTTTCAATAAAACTTATTATTATTTACTCAAAATACTAAATTCACAGGCATGGCCAGGTATGTTTTGCAGAAGAGCAAACAAAAATATCATAAACACCCTACACCGATAAAATCTCTCTGAAATCTTAGAAAAAAAAAACTGATTGCTTTCAAGTAATTTAATTACGCTTCATACTTTACAACTCTAAACGTCATTAAATATTTGGATTTAACACTTTAAATTCTTCAATAATTTCATTTGAAAAATTATAGTCAACTTCTGCAGTGTGGCCAAATGTTGATCCGCAAATATCATAAGTGTCGAGTCAAGTATTACATGAGTGCGTCATATTAATTGTTAACTTTGTTTTTCACATTATTTAATTTGAAAAATGGCCGTTTACAAAAGCGGCTTTATGACCGTTATAACGGTCACAAAAGTATACCTATTCACGAGGCAAATGAAATTAGCGCTAACACGTAACATAATATCACGCACGAAGAGCAATAGCAGTATTATTAAACTTTTTCAGTTTTTGTTTATAAAACCGTAATCATATTATGTTTCCAATTCAAGAATCTAAACACGACTCACAGGCTCGCAACTAAACTGCACCCTGTGAATTCCCGTAGCCGTGTCAATGCTCGCATAAAACTTATACAATATATGAGACGTATTATTAAATTAATGAGACCGGTAGTGTAACGTGCAATCTGTCATCATTGGTGGGTTTCCGTTTGGACAGAAGGTAAGCTAGGACCCGCTTCTGATCCGATCCGAGACGACCGGCTCGAGCAACACCCTACATCTGATATGTGTGGCTATATCATTACCTATTTCATACCGACTATTCATATCATCGTCTACTGCGAAAATTATTTATTAGTATGTACCTACCATCTCTTAGAGTTCGTATGTGTATTAGTGATATTTTGTACTATATAGTTTTTATGCGATATTTTTTCAAGTTACAGCAGCTCAGAAGACGAATGAGATGATTTACCGGACATTATATTATATTTCAATAATCCAAGGTCTTATTAAAAACATAATTTATTAAAATATTGTAAAAACGAGGAATATTTTAAAATATGTATTAAATTTCCTGATAATATCCTGATAATTTAATCTAATTGAGTCTGACTTGTCGGAAAAAAAACAAACCTATTTGTTTTCGTCCGATGTACCCGATTATTCGGTATGTTGGAAACAGATGCTGCAAATAAATATATAGCAACTACCAATAACAACAATAATAATAGTGTCCCATAGTGATCTGACTCTTGAAAGAAATTTTGTTCTGTTAATTATTTGTTTTTAAAATAATTGATATACCTCTGCACTACAGTTAATATATAAATTTTTTTTTAAATTTTATGTGAGGGAAAATATATTTTTTGAATCTTTTTTGTGGTTGAAATTTTTGTTTAAAAAAAAAACCGTGCGTCTTTTATTTTCAACAATTATCTGAAGTTTAAGCAAATATGAATATTATTATGGTTTAAGAGTAATAATCACAATCTACAGACCATAATTGTATTTTTGTGTGACATTAACCCACGAAAAAGAAAATTCACGTAATTTGATATGTTCTGATTACTGATTAAATATTATAACAGCTTATAAACCAAAATATTTAAATTTGCAAACATTTCAAAAAAAAATTTCATAAAAAAAAAGATAAAAATAGTTTCCTAGAAATATCTGCCCAGTTATAAAGTTATGTGAACAAGTGGGTGACCTTACCCCTGCACCACCCTTTTAATTAGCAAAAGTTTAATAGTGATAAATTATAAGTAAGTACCTAGATAAAAATGTAATAAATGGTTTAAAAATTATAATTGTAAGCTCATGCTAATAACTCACAAAATGGCTTTTTTAAAAAAAAAATATAGTTAAATATTAAGTTTTTTAATTTAAGTTCTGCCACCTAAAAAACCCAAATTAATATATTAACTGTAGCGCAGAGGCGTACTAATTATTAAAAAAAAAAAAAAAAAAAAAAATAATGAATAGAGCCAAATTTATTTCAAGTGTCAGGTGATCGTGAAACACGGCACATACACATTTTTGTTTATCTTCTGACTAGTTGGACAGTCGGAACGGATCGGGAACGCGTCCTATATAACCTCTCCTCTATTTCAGTATTAATTCGATCTCCTTAGAGTCACGTATTAGTCCTTAGAAAATGTTTTCGTAAACGTATTTTTTTGAGGGCTCAGGTGGTTTTTTCAAAAACCCGAATTTCGTTGATATTTTCATCATTAAATCGTATAAGATGATCACATCTACCACGCGACGAAATGGAAAATCACTAGCGTTTTCAGATGAGCACGGTACGCAACCTGCTGTCCGATTACTTTATTTATAACCCTCGTACATTATTCGTACACCATTCGTGTGTTTTCGATTGGCAAACCGTACTGCGGGTTATATAAAAATATAAGATTGCTCGCATAATATACTCGTGTGTGTGTATATTATTATACAATAAAACATCGTGTTTGAATACAAACGGCGCGATAGACAAAAGAACCGCGCGGGTATAAACACACGGGTATTATTTTCTGTATAAACTTGAGGAGATAACAACCGTATTATCATTGTATATTATTTTGCGCGTATGTTTTTGGGCGAGAAAACGTTGTCGCGTGCCCGACGATCCCTCGTCAGTGGCGCATTAATCATTTTACGCGGCGCTCTCCTCCATTAAAGAGATTAATGCCGAATTTCTTTGGCCCACACCCCACCGAACGCACCGCGAGAGGTCTCGCTATATTTCGCCAACGCGCACGCGTGTGCGCACAGACACACATAAACACACACACATACATACACACACCATATAAACACACTCGTTACGTACGGCCCGTGCACACACACTCTCATAAACACACACATTACATATATTATAACTCCGGCCGAGCGAATACAGAGAGATCATTTTATCATAACGATTCAGCGGCGATTTCCTCCGAGGATTTTACGTATACATATGAGTTCTGTTTGTTTGTTTTTTCGAGATTCTGAGCAAAACGAAATATATTGGTTAGGTTAGGTTCGGTTAGGGCATATTGGTTTTAGTATAATACGTATGCTTTTTTTGAATTTTAATTTTTTTTTTTTTTTGTCTATTCATAAACGACTTTCTACCAGAAATCTCACTTTAAGTACAGTAAATTCTATCCAATCATGAGTTCTAAAAAAAAAAAAAAACATTTCAGCAATTTTCGAACTATTAGGCATTTTAAATTTCATATTTTTTTAAAAATTTATTTTCCATGTTATGTGAACAATATTATTTGGAAATCCAATACGTGATTTATCAGTGTTACTTGGTGGTAAAAAAAAATCGAGCATAACATTTTATCTTTTTTATAAATGTTTTAAACACAAACTGTGATGAAAATAGTAAAGGTCACGATATTTTGATATATATTTAATCAAACTAAACTCAGAATCGTTTTTTTTTTTAACAATTTATACAAAAATAGTACAATGACATAATTAATATTGAATTTATTATATTATGAACGTTTATAGAATTCAGATCAACAAGAGGAATATGAAATAAGCATGCATTAATCATAATGATAGTACTTAAATATATATCTAATTAACACAATCATCCTGTATATGAAGCGCAACAGGAGAACATTATATAGAAAAGGATGATTTAGAGATGCAGCGGTTTTTTCGTATTCGTATATGACGTTAGAAGCTTTTGGTTCTAATGGATTTTCTAATTTCAATGAAACAAGGCCCGGAGAAACGTATTAAAAAATTCAATTTTTTTTTAGATCCTGAGAGTAGCGAAAAAATGTATTGGTTTTATATAATGTATGCTTTAATTTTTTTTAGAAATCTATAACTTAATGATACCTATTGCTCCGATCATTGACTTAAGGTGTGGTTTAAATTTTTGTCTAATTTTGTGCATAGAGAATATCATTTTTTTATTTTCTTTGTAATTTTCTTGATAATGGAGCAATACTGAATAATAAAATTGTCGTATCAATGTTCCTGTTTTCCCTCATAATTTATAAAAGTTCAAAGAATACAAAAATAAAAAAAAATAATAATAATCTACAAAATGTATCATTAATAATCAGGCAAATTTTTTTGTTCGAAACTACCGGCCCTAAGTTGAAGATTTGAGCAAACATTCTGATCGAAAATTTGTTTACGGACAAAAAAATGCACACAATATCTAGAAATATCTGGATTTTTTGTGTAACGTCCCATAGTGTTCGTGGTAATGGGTTTCTAACCGATATTTCCATTTCTCAGATAAGACTATATAATAATAATATAAATAAAATATAAATATAATATAAAATAATAATACAAAATAGTGTTATATTATTATTATATTGTCTAAAAAAAAAAAAATAAAAAAATTAACGACGTACTATACAATGACCAAAATACGTTCTGGTCTGAGCACCTTGAACAACAACCAATCGCAATACGACGTTGATTTTAAAATGTATAGATATATAAATATACTTGGATCAGTATCGAACGCCCGGTATGGAATTTTTTTATTTTATTATTATTTTTTACCGACAAAAGGCAATTACTTCGTAAGTGGAAAACATAATAAACTACAGACACACACACACACACACACACACACGCCATACATATATATATATAAATATATTATTATATGAATTGTAGAGGATTAGGTGAGTTTCTATACTCTCTAACAGCGTAAACTGCACGAGCGACGGAAGTATATATAGTAGGTAAATACCCATAATCCACAGTCTATATTTAAGTATATAATGTATTGTACTTTCTCTCCGTCCCACTCTCCGCCTTCTCCATATATCCAATCCCTCGAATTTCTGATAACGACAATATATTTTATAATCACAATAATAGTTATTGCAAATTTGATAACCCAATACAATGGATATTATAACTAATCTAAAACCCGTCTTCCATTTAAAATATATCTCTCATACCATATTAATTATTAATAATTATAAATTGCATTCCGTTTTCATATTACGCATACAAATGGACACTGAACTATTGTGCAATTTTATATTTCTGAAATATAACATACAGGATTTAAGTTACATTTTTGTTAGATTTTTCTATTACGTTCAAACATAAATCTTACTCCAATTATCTAATTCAAGGGTAGTTTCTGTTAGGAAATTGTGTCTAGTTTTTTCATCGAAAATATGATTTTTTCATTTTTTTAAGATGTTAAGGAAATAATAACATGAAAGATTCCTTCGTTTTTTTTTTTTTTTTTAATATTTAAGCTTTTGAGTAGAGTGAAGAAGCTTTTCGTTTTATTATGATGTGTTTGTGTGGGTTTTTTTCATGTTAACACTTTTTTTAGTTAGTTAAATGTTTCAATTTGTTCACCTCAGAAGATGCCCGTAGATACTTTATTTGAAATATCTATAGACATTTTTTAAAGTTTATATCCTAGCTTCTTTTTTTCTCGGAAATCTCTTTTTCGGTTAGTAAAAAGGCTACAAATTATTCGTATCATACCTAAAAAAATGCGGACCTTTTCATCTACAAAAACGGCCTAAATGCGAGCAGGGTCGATTTTTTTTCATATTCAATATCGATCGAATATTTTTTAATTGAAAAAAAAAGCAAGCAACCGTAAAAATGTTTAAATTATCGGAAAAAGTTACTTTGTAAACTAAAAGTTAAAGTATATCCTGCATCTATGCCACTTTCTATCTGATAGTTATTAATTTTTTCTTGGTTTCATTAAATTTGTCATAATGTCCGGAAAATCAATAATTTTTAGCGTGGTACATTTTTGAAAATCATTTGAACATCGAAATACGTTATTCTGTATCAATTTTTTAATATAAACAATATTTATAATTGTATAATTAATATATATTCATATGGTTTCGCAACATTTAACAAACAAATAATTGGATAAAATAATTGGAGTGGAAGTTTTTTTTTAAGCCATTTCACTGCATCTTTGGTGAGATTGTGTAGATCATGTAGATCATTTAGTGTACCTTCAAATTTATATTAATCACATTATTTGGCTATATGCGTCATATTCATCACTTGTTTTTAAGCACAATATTTACATTTTTCTAAGTTTTTGATATTCCGTATTTTTTAGATCTGCAGCGTATTATTCACGGTTTGTGCGGAATCTATTTTAAATTGCCCATTCTCTCCGAGGTAGTTTGAAACAAGGAACCGGAGTTTTCGGCAACTGTATTAGATTTGTGTTTATTACAGTTTCCCTTTCCCATGAAGAATGCCATTTCTCTATGGTAGTTTTATTTTCCAACTGTGAATTCTGAGCAACCTTCCAAAATGATATTTTTGATTTGAAGCAAGTTCTTGGGGGGCTTCATAGAATAGAGTTTATTAGTAATTTTTGATTGTTTTGCATTTATTTCATTAATTTTTTGGGATTCTTTGCGTTTAATGCTGGAGGTGAAGTATTTGATTTGATAGGTAGCCAGGTAGTCAGTGTGGGCTTCAGTGTGTCCCTTATTATGCGTATAGTTGTTTGTCTATTTTCTTGACTTGTAAATTTTTAGTCCATACCGGTGCACAATATTCTGCAGCTGAGTAAACTAGTAAAAGTTCTGCTATTTTCAATGTTTTTTATCATGGCTTCCAAGCTAGTTCCCATCAATTGTGTTAATAGGTTATAGCTCGTATTTTGTTTTTATGCTGATATTTTTGTTTTATATCGCTTGTAAGAATTTGGCTAGAGTAATACCAAGATATTTTGGTGAATGGTTGTGTTACACTCATTGGCCGTCAAATGTGATGTTCATCGCGGTGGATGACTGTCTGTTATTAAGATATAAGATTATAGATAATAAATTATATTAAGTTGATTATAATTAATAATTACTATTTTAAATCAATGTTATTGTATACTTTATTTATAATAACATACTTTCTACATCAACCGAAAACTAGTGACAAACATGTGGTTACAATAATTTGATTAATCGACTGTAACAGCTTTTGAACTGATCGACTAATGAAAAAAGCAAAATCAATTCCAAATTTGTTACTATCGATAAATCAAATTAGTGTAATTACATATTGTCTGCCGTTTTCTGGTTGATACAGAAGGTTCAGACCCGACTCGCCGACACCTGATTAGTCGATTACTTGTTATGTCGACTCGTTAACCGGTATCTTGTAATAATGTAAAAAGTTCCAATTCGCAGACCCATTAGTCTCACAAAATATAAAAACAAATTTTTTTATTGATATCTAGAATATTACAAACACTTTTATTTTAATCAAAGAGATAAACAACTAGCAAACAAAC